ATGCAATATAATGACAAACCTCTTCACCGGTCCACCAGTCCCAAGATGTCTAAAACAAAAAACTTCAAATGCAAGCTTATGATGAAAGAACTACCAAACCAAGTAAATCTTCATACTAGATATCCCCACACTTACATGAATCTGATATATCAATGCTGTTAACAAACACCAGAAGACGATAACTACTAGATTACTTGCACAACCAACTCTACCAATATCACTTTAATAATTAACCTAACTATCAACTATATAGCATCAAAACATAAAGCAAATACTACTAATCGAAATCTCTTTATTCAAGCATTCTATAATATCTACCTTAATGACAATCTACCAATTGGATTTATCTCTACCGCCATGCTTCCACCCTTTTAATCATCTAGCCAAGCCACACAACTAGTACCAGAATTCTATGACAAACTAGTTACCGAAATAAGAGAGAAGATCTGGATACCTAGCAGAATATTAATATCATCTTATAACCTAACAATGATCAATCCTCCCTACACCACACCTACTACTACTTCAATTACTAGCTACAAACAAAACCCAATTGGTGCATATAAATAGGGTAAGTGTAGGGTTGAGTTAGGTAGGGAGTGAGATAAGATAGCTTTTGTTTTAGTAATCATGATGCATCATTTGGTAAGATGTGATGCCTCAGTTATAGTTAGGTAAGTGTTGGATAGATGGTAGCGCAGACGAGCAAGTAGTACTGTATTTATAATATAGATTGTTTGTTTTTCAGTGGTGCGGGAGTAGCGTAGTTTGTTTAGTTCTTGGTTTAGTTCACATTTGATTGTATGGATAATAGGTTTGTTGCTGTTTTGGTGGCATAAGTATATCCCCAAGAAGCGGAAAGTGTCTTTAGATAAAAGATTGTGTATTGGTTGGTTTTGAAAAATTATTGGAAGTAGATTGGAGGTGTTATTGTATAGTAGTATAGATTTGTTTGGATTAATCATAATTTGGGCGAAGATATAAAAGGAAGAGGCAATAGATAGAATGGTTTCAAGTAAGGTTCTGCTATCAGCGATCCAGGTGGTATCATCCATGTAGGCAATAACTGCTGTTGATGTATATACTGGTGATTGTGTTGATGATAGTAGAGCTGACATGGTATAGCCTAGTGCTGTGGAGGTTATTCGACAAATTAAGAGGTCGTAATATATTCGCCACAGAATGGGTAAGATAGTTTCACCCTGGTCGAGACCATTCTCGACTGAGTATGAACGTGTTTTTCCAAGGGAGGTGATGACTTGATTTTGTTAATATGCAAGAATGTAAGTAAGCAAGTTGATAAATTGTTGAGGAATATGAATGCGGTGGAGTGCCTTTTGGAGAAGAGAAATGTGAATGGTATCATATGCTTTTGACATGTCTTGGGAAAGTATCCATAGTTCTTTGTCTTGGATATGAGCATCTTCAAGAATATGTGTGATTTGTTGAATAGGTTGTAGAGCAGAGATATAGAAAAGAGCAACGTGGTTTGCTGGGTCTAGTATATTGTGTTTGGTTAGCATTTGGTTTAGACGGTTAGTCAAAATTTTTTAAATATCTTTCTTGAATGTTCAATTAAAGTGATGGGTCTTGTTTTGCTTAAATCTCCAGGTAAGTATCCTTTCTTTGTAATAGGCCAAACCAGTCCATTATGCCATAACTTGGGTATGTTTTAGAGATTAAGACAGGCGTTGAATATGTATATGAATTGTTTAAGTGCATCTAGAGGGAGTTTTTTTAATATCTCATTGGATATAAGGGAGGGACCAGTTGCCTTTTTTTGAGGTGCATCAATAATTGTTGTTTAGACCTCATCAATGGTTATAGGACTTAATAGTGGCTGAAAAATATTAGGTAGGATGTTTTTGAGTAGCTGATAGTCACTCTCCCATTCTGTCCATGATGGGAGGTTGGGTGGGTTGGATTTGGTCCAGGTATGAAAGTGTTTTCTTGTTGCTTCTTTGATTTCATTAGGGTCAGTTATAATGTTGGTAGGAGTAGTAATGTTGGTATATGATATAGGAGTATGTGTTCATTTGAGTATACTGTTTATCATCAAGGTTGTATTGTTGGTGAAGTTATCATATTGTCATAGGATATGTAATTGAATGGTTGCTTTTTTTTGGGCATTGTTTTCCAGATTATGGGCTTGGTATAGTGTGTTTCGAATATTTTTTAGTTGTATTAGTGTTTTATAGAACTGTTTTGTTTCTAGGCTCTGGGAGGTCAGGGTTATTATCAGGGTGCTGATAAGTTTATTAATTTGTTTTAATGTGTCATTTAGGTGGTTTGCTATGGAACTTGGAGAAAGAGGAGTTGGTTGTTTAAGTGTGACAATAATATAATTAGCTTTTTTGAGCGCATTGTGCAAAGTGGTGGCTTTGAAAGTATGTACAAAATAGCTTCTGGAACAAGTATAAGTTGTGGGTATGTGAGCTTTTGCGGCTTGCCCAATAATATTGTTCAAATTGTTTCAAGTTTTGTTGAGGATTGTTGTATTGGTGATAGGTTGAAGGAAACAAGAAGATGCCTTTAGATGGGTTGCAATATAGTTAGCAAAATTGTCCCATTGTTCGTGTGTGGTTTAAGAGTAGAGATATCTTTTACGATATTGTTTTTTTGTTCGTTGGTAATTTTGAAGGATTGTAAGTTCCCAGATAGATTGAAGTATGATGTGTCACTTTGTGTCGAAGTGGCAGGGTCAATATATAATGGTGTTGAGAAGGCCAATGTAATTTCAGTGTTAACCCAAAAATCGTTGATTTGGCTAGAATATATATTTCTTTGCTATGTTGGTTTAGTGATATCGTGAAGTTCTAGTAGACTAATGAGGCCCATGCTTGACAAGGATTAAAGCAAGGGTGCATTGTGATTGAAGTTGTGCTGGTTAATGTTGTTGTTGAAATCTTTAGCTATAATGATATTGTGGTGCTGGCTATGGGCTTGGCTAATCTAGTGAGTTATTTGGTTTTGAGCTTTTCTGGCTTGTATGGAAATGGTAGAGAGAAGATAAGTGGAGATTAGTCATGTACGATTATTGTTAAGTTGGTATAGATCTATGAGCAGAGCGAATCTGGGAATTTTAGAGATATTGTGAATATAGGTTTGTAGGTAGTGTCTCATTGCTATTGCTATGCCTATACAAGTTTCTCTGAGGTTTGTATTATTAGAGTTACTATTGGATGTATAAATTTTGAATAGTGGGTTTGTTAGGGAAGCTGGAGTAGATGTTGTGTCAGATAATTTAGTTTCAGTCATAAAAATTAGGTCTGCTTAGAGGTTGTGGCATTCTTCTAGAAATAGTTGAAATTTTAGTGGCTGGTTAATACCCTGTACGTTGTGGTTGATCATGACTAATTTTGATGTTTGACTAGTAGGTGGTAGTGGGCCATTGGGTAGTGGAGTTGTATTACTCATGTGTAAGTGTATTAAAGAGATCTTTAGGTTTTGGATAGGGGTTAGAAGGTAAGTAGTTGTTGAAGATTTGCCAGTTGGGAAGGGGTAGGTCTGGTAGAGCTAGGATATAGTCAGGTATGGATTTGATAGAGTAAAAAGTTCAGAGTCTGTTAATTATATCTTCAGCATTTGAGAGAAGTTTGACAGGAATTGCTACAAGAAGTTCAGTGTCAAGTTTTGTAAGTTGGGTGGTCAGTTCTTCAAGGGTCAAAGGTAATATAGGCTTTTGGTTAGAATTGGTCTGTTTTGGAATATTAATCCATGAGGTAGGGATACAATAAAAGAAGTAATAGTTTCGTAGTTCTCTGGCAATATTAACAAGTTGTTTGGGAGATGTGATAGAGATGGTTAGGTTCATTTCTTGAATAGTCTGGTGGTCTGTTGGTAAGTCTGGCTTATTTGTATAATTAATGTTGATATAGTTGGAAGGTAAGGAGGTGGGCAGGTAGAAGCAATCTTCGATTTCAGCAATGAATTGTTTTGCAATTTCTTTGTCAGATATTGGAAACTTATAGTTGATTTTTGTGGTAATTGAGGTGGGCTCGAGTGGTAAGTGTGGTTTTTAGACAATATAGTCATTTGGGAGGCGTTTGAAGCCAAAATGAGAACGGAGAATCTCAGCGTAAGTTTGGAGATCATGTTTGTTTTTTGGTTTGTAGGGAAAGAGCTGTCAAAGTTTATATGGGAGTTGTTGGGAGGTTAGTGGTAGAGGAGGTTTTTTTGGAGGTAGGTCGAAGTAGTTTTCTGGGATCTCTTTGACCTCATACAGTTTTTGGAGTTTTTTCCTATATTGGGCTAAGTATAGTAGTAATGAGCAGTCTGAAATCGGAAATAGGTCTCGAAATGAGGAATCGAGATCAGAGGGGTTTTCAGGAAGTGGCTTTAATTGCTCTTGAAAATAGCAGTCAGGAAGTGATTCAAAGGAGTAGATACGTCAGAGTGCAATAACAACTGCTTTGGTATGTGTACGGTTTACTATAGGTAGGTTGAAGGAGAGAAGTTTGGTAATATTACTAGAGATATCAGTGGGAGTAGATGGGAGTAGGACTAAGTGTTCCAGAGAGACTTTATGAATTAATTGGTGAATATTCTCGAATTGGATGGTGTAGGCAATTTTGGCGAAATTAATACAATAGAAGATTTTTCTAAAGATCTCGTGGGGCTTTGTTTTTAGAAAGTCGATGTTTGTAATATAGTTGACTGCAAGTTTGAGTTTGAGTTTTTCGAATATTTGGTTGCAGTTGTTTTTGTTTAGGAAGTGGGTCTGATGCTGTCTTTTGTATTTTTCTAGAGCCATGTTGAGAAGGGCGTTGAACTCAGTTTGGTGTGGTGGGGCAGTTTCTTTATTTCGAGTAAAGGATTTGAAGAATGCTGTATCATAGTGGTCGAACTTGGTCTTAATCACAATAGGTAAGTTGTGGGTTGTGGGTTGTGAATTGTATTTGTGTATGAAGAAGGAGGTGAGTGTTGGTTTGTCTGTGAATGCTTCGAGTATTGCGTCGATGTTCTATTTGTCCGAGTCAAATAAGTCTTGTCTTCGTGAAAGACCATTGGCTACTATTAAGCTCTAGAGTGTGGTTTTGTCAGGCTCTTTTAGATGTGTTTTGGTATATTTATTTGTTAGGGCTTGGCTATAAGTTGGCTTATTTGATTGTGATTGGATCGTTGAGATGGATTCATTATCGCTGTGGTCGGGGAGGGTCGATTTGCTGATAGTCAGCTGGGAGGTGTGTTCAATTTCTATGGTGTCGTTGGTTGAAATTGAAGTCGGGGTATCAGTTTTGTTTTGATCTGGGGCGTGAGAAAAAGCAAGTGATGGGGCTGCCTTAGCAGGGGCGTGGGAATATTAAGTGGGGGGTATATGCCAGAATTGAAAAGGTGTCCATTGTTTGGGTCTCGGAAGGCTCGGGTACTAGGTTGTTTGGGTTGTTTACTTTTTGTTTTGATGTAGATGATGTCATGTGATCAGCAGATGGGATAAGCTGGATTCCCCCAAAGTGTACTGTATGCTTTGAGGAGTAGAGTGGTCTTGGGTTGCTTGGATACTAAGTTTTGCTTTTTTTGTAGGTGAACCAGTTGTGAGTAATATGCCCATAGGTTCAGAGGTGCTACTA